ACAAGGAGGAGTCAGAAACTGGCCCATCCCTCCCTCCAGGCTCTGCACTATAAGAGAATGGAGACACCTAAGGAGGAAGTCCAGCTAGGTATCTGGTCATCCAGCCCAGGTTAAGCACCTCAAATAAGAGGACAGAGATTGTTAGTACAGAGTGAGTGGGGTGTGTACCCCAAACCCATCAGCATGCCAAATACAACAAATTTGTAGTTGTAGAAAGACAGCCTTCTCCCATCAGTTGCTCGTAAGCTTATTCTTGCTCCTGGTCTGAGGGGATACAGGCAAGGCAGAGCAGGGACTATTTTGCAATGGGAGCTTGGGGCAGCTGTTTCTATCCTGCTGTCAGCCAACAAACAAAAAGCAGGGTCCAGCTATCCACCTCAAGGCTCACCACCCCCAGAACCCACTTCCTCGAATGAGGACCCACCTCAAAGACCCAAAATCTCAAGACCATCCCGGAGCAGTACCTCCTGCTCAGAACCAAGCAGTTCAGATGTGTGAGGCTGGGAGGTGGGGGTGGGGACATGTTCACGTTCGCATCACCGTACCTCTCGGCCCTAATGAGGTCCCTGCTGCTTGGAAAATGGATGCCAACGAAGAGAAACCTGGGACAAGAAAGGAGCCCCCAAGGCTTGCTAATATGCATTGGTTGGGCCACTCTCTGTGTCTTTAAGCTGAGGGTGTGGGGAGTGGACAGCAGGAGTCTGGGAGGTCTCCAAGGCCCTCTCCCACCCACCGTCAACTACAGGGACTCCGTAGTGTTCCCAACACTCAGCTTCTGAGTGCTTCCAGTGGGTGCCTGGCAGGGATCTGCTTACTAAATGCTTGATGGATGGATGACTAGAGAGTGCATGGGTAGAGGAGGCCTTCTGTTCTAGAACTAAAAAACTTTCCTTCATCCCCCTCAGGGCCCTTTCGTCTCAGCAGTTAGCGCTGCCACAGAGACCCGCAACTCATCAATTACAAACATTAACTGTAAATTACACTTTTGCATAGTTAATTCAGACTCCTCATTATGTACTTAGCAGAGCTTAGCAGGCGTAAAATTCAATAGCAAGCTTTGGAGTGGATCCAGCGTCTGTCCTCTGTGATATCTGGAAAATGCAAAGTTTTAGGAGTGGACCTCGGAGCGTGTCTTCTCTGGAAGGTCTCCAACAGACTCTGCTTTTTGCTTTTTTTTTTTTTTCCTTTGGAATGGGTTCAGCCCTTCTGGAAAAGCTGATAGCTTCAAAGCCTGCCTCCACCCTCCTTTCTAACAAAATGGAGACTCTCCCCCTCCTGAGTAGAAATTAATATTAACCTGACTACTGGAAGGAAGTGTGAATATCAGGAAGCCAGGCTCTTGGAGCAGTCACTCATCTATTATTCATTCGACAAACATTTACTGCGTGCCTCTGGTAGGTCAGCATGGTGATGTGTCATTTGAAGGTAATGGAAGAATACCATACCACTGCTGCTAGGGAGCTTGAATTGGTTAAGGGAGATGTGGATATTGAACTCCCAAGTGGAGATAAATTCATACTGGGTTGTGTGGCCATGTAAATGAAGGGTGAATTCCAAGCAACAGGGGTCCAATGACATGAGTGGATGGGCTGTGGGGAGCAGGGTGATAAGGGATCCTGTGGGAAAGAAATTATTGCAAATGGCCTGAGTGGAAGTATGCCTGAAGTGCCTGAATGGTAGAGACAACCAGAGTGGGGTGCCCTAAGGAAGCAAGGAAGGGAAAAAGAGATTGAGAAAACAGAGAAGGGGAGGGAGTCCTGTTGTCAGGACTGGGGAGATGAAAGGGTTGTGGGTCGCAGCCCCAGGTGCAGAAGGTTGGCTCAAGAAAGGCCTATGCGGAGCTTAACTTCAGGTAACAAACACAGAAGGTAGATTTCCAGTCTCACTCTCTAGTGGATGGGAGAGTGTGCGGCTCTAGTGATTTGCCTCAGTCAGTAAAGTGCTTGCCATACAAGTATGGGGACTTGATCCCCGGAATCCGTGTAAAGCAACAGGGCATCCCTCTAGCTCTGTTTGTTTATTTTTTTAAAAGATTTATTTTTATTTTAGATATATGTTTTGCCTGCATATGCATGGGTACACCACATGTGTGTCTGGTGCCCACAGAGGGCAAAAGACGATATCAGGTCCCCTGGAACTAATGGTTGAGAGCTGCCATGGGGATGCCAGGAACTGAACCTAGGTCTTCTGCAAGAGCAATAAATGCTCTCAGCCACTGAGCCATCTCTCCAGCCCCGCCATTTGCTTATTTTTAAAGCTGAATCTTGGAGTGAAATCCAAGTGTGCTGCCCTGTTCCACGGGGCAGACGTCATAAGCTTCTCCCTCCCTTATGCTGCCCTTATGTCGTGGGTTCTGAATTCTGTCTCTTGTACTCACTGCAGACAACAGTGGGGGAGGCCGGGTCCTTTTTCTGTGCTAGCGTGTTGAATCTCTGCTGACCAGATGTCCTCCCTCAGTACTCTGAATGGGAGCCACTGACACAGAGGATCGAAACAGCAGTGTGTGTGTGTGTGTGTGTGTGTGTGTGTGTGTGTGTGTGTGTGTGTGTGTGTGTGTGTTTGAATGTGAGGCACAGACTTCTGTAGAGCTGTTTTTCCTAGGATTCTAGCTTGGAGCGCGCGCACATGCGCGCGCGCGCACACACACACACACACACACACACACACACACACACCAACCATTATTTTGCCCATCTCCCCTCCATTTCTTCCTCTCTTCCTATCCTGCTCACTGTGGGGCATTTGTTCGGTTCCTGCTTTCACAGTCGACTCAAAGTGGAGCCTGCAACCCAAAGCCATACTCTTCAGCACCATGGAGAGCTCATCGGAAAGCGGCTTCTGTGGGCAGGGTGGGAAAGAGATCTTTGGGTTCCTGACTGCACTTGAAGCAGAATGGGTCAAATATAACCCACACCAGTTGGTACTGTTCTCCTGGGAGAGACTTCCCCATTGAGAATTTCATTTCTTCATTTTGTGAGTGGCTTTGCTTCCACAGGCACTGAGCTGCCCATGGTGGCTATGACATGGTTACTCAAGTCCCTGCAAACCCCCCTCCCCCCGAAGGCTGGGAAGCTAAAAATCCCTTTGGCGTTATCTCATCCTTAGGCTCTGTTTTCTTACAGTTGAGTCCAGTGGGCAAGAGGTGTGGAAAATTGGGTTTTCAATGGTCTGAAATTTGTCGTGACTACTGGGGGGATTTATTTACTTTCGAGTAACTGCTTTATTTTAAGCCAATTTTGAAAATTTTCCTTCAAGAGTTACATCTGTAAATCCACACCATTGATTTTTATCAAGCAGTGCTTGCTGGCACTCTCTGGGGTTACCTAAGTGTTTAAATCTCTCTCTTTATCGCTCCAACATCACCAGCACTGCCCATATTAGGCGGGGGCTCTTGGTCTCCTCAAGGCAGATGCTCAGAGACAGTAGAAAAGTACTGGCCACAGGATGAACTGGCTCCTTTTCTTTGTCTCTGTCTTCCACCAGCAAGCATAGAAGGGGACGTCTGATGGGACAGATTCTGAGTGAGGGTATGAGACACAGAGCTGGATAAGTCAGGCTTATGCATGACACTGCGTTTCTTATTTGGGGACAGGGATTGTATCACCTTTTTAAGACAAGGTCTCATGTATCCCAGGTTAGCCTTGAAGTCAAAGTATAACCAGGATGACCTTGAACTCCCATCCACCTGCTTCAACTTCCCAAGGACTGGGATAACAGGTGTGCACCATCTTGTCTGGTAGATCCAGTGCTGGGAATTGAACCAGGGGCTTTGAGCATGCCAGGCAAGCACTCTACCACTAGAGCTACATCCTAACTCCATGAGTCAGTTTTAAAAGTACATATTTATGGCAGTTCTCCACCTGAGCATGACTTTGGAGTCCAATCCTACTAAAAACAAAAGCAAGTGTTAACTGTACAAGGTGGTGAACACTAATCCCAGAACTCAGGAAGCTGAAATGGGAGATTTCAAAGCTACACGTTTGGAGTCCAGCCTGATCTATAGAGTGAGCTCCAGGCCAGCCATGGCTATGAAGGGAGCCCTTCTCTCAAAAACAACCCAAAGACCTCATCCCTACATACACTGATCAGTGCTCAGTGTTTAAGAATTTTTGCTTGGATCCGTGGCTTGTGGGTGCTGCTCTATCTTAGCTCCCAACTCTCTGATTTGAAAGTGACATCATGCTTCAAGTACCTGGAGCTGTCTGTGAGAGGTAGTCTTTCCATCCTCTCGTTTTGAGCACAATTATCAGATTTGGGGTAAAGGGAGAGAAGGATCCTTCAAACACCATCATATTAAAGCCATTTCCTGTTGTTTGAATCTTAGATAGTCTTTTAATAAAAAAAAACAAAAACAGAGCCAGATATCAAGGTGAAAGCTGAAAGATCAGAGAAGCAGAACAGCCAGCCACTAGTTCTTACCTCTACAAAATCCTCAGCCTAAAGAGAGTGAGTTCCTGTTTCCTCATATATACCTTTCTCTGCCCTGCCATATTACTTCCTGGGATTAAAGGCGTGTGTGCATCCCAAGCAAAGGCATGAGATCTCAAGTGCTGGGATTAAAGGTGTGTGCCACCACTGCCTTACCTCCATGTCTAATCTAGTGGCTGGCTCTGTCCTCTGATCCTCAGGCAAGTTTATTAGGGTACTATTGGTGAAATTATTAAGGCCACTCCACATAGTTAAAAGGAGATTTATTTAATGTCGTAACTTACAAATTAAGGGATAGGTAGGTTGCGGGGTCTGGGGAAGGTGTATCGCAGTTCAGCGGTGTTCTCTGGAGCTCTGTTCAGTCAACCTCCACTGTCCAGGGTCTCGGAACCGAGTGAGAGCGCAGACCCATCCAGATCTCTGGTCTCCAGGTGCCTCCCTTGGCCCCACCTTGTAGGCGTGACAGTTGCCGAAGTCTCAGTGGGGGTTGGAACTTCCAGATCAAAGCTGGAATGGCTACCCACTACAGGGTCCACACTATATCACCGCAATTTCCTTTCATTCCCTTGCAGAAGCAGCAATCTATTCAACGAGGTCATGCAGATGAACTTTGAGATCGCCAGTTTCAGCAGCCTCTCAGGGACACAGCCCATCACCTGGCAAGTGGAGTACCCGAGGAAGGGGACCACAGACATCGCTGTGTCCGAGATCTTCATCAGCCAGAAGGACCTGGTCGCCATTGTCCCCCTCGCTATGGTAAGTCATGCTGTCATGGCATCCCTTACATCCTACTGATGAACAGTACCCCTGCATGCTTCCTCTTTCCCAGGTCATCACTGTAATTATTTTATGTATAAGTAACCCCATCTTCCTCCGTCCTGGAAGTGGCAACATTATCTTTCAGAAGGTAAGCTTCTCAGATAATGCCATCATGGTACTAGCCACATCCACCTACCAAAGTCCTTGTCATTTACTTCTAATTTAAACCACTTCAGCTCTCTTTTATCATGTTCCAATTTATATGAAAACTTCAGGCTGATGTGTGTCCTGGTCAGGATGAGTTGGGCTAGGCTGTGGCAATAAGTGAACTCAAATCTCAAAGACCCCAGTCAACTAAAGTTATTCTTGATTATATGGCATCATGTGAATGGCAAATGTGCTGGTCAGTTTTAACCATCAACTTGACACAACCTAGCATCACCTGGGAAGAAATTCTTAATGCGGAAAACTTGTCTAGATCAAGTTGGCCTAGAGGCATGTCTGTGGGGGATTGTTTTGATGGTCAGTTGAGGCAGAAAGACCCACGCTGAATGTGGGTAGCACAATTTCATGGACTGTGTAAGAGTGAAGAAAATGGACTGTGCCTGGGCAAGCAGGCAGCATGGGTGAGAGCCTCTCTGCTCTGGACTATGGATGTGGTATGTGACAAACTGCTTGGGTCCCTGCCTTGTCTTCCCCTCAATGATGGACTGTAACCTGGAAGTGTAAGCCAAATAAGTCCTTTCTGCCCTAAGTTGCTCTTGTTAAGGATGTTTCATTACAGCAATAGAAAAAAAAAAAAAACAAAGACAGCAGGAGAACCCTGTGGCATGCAGCCCCTGAGAGCTATTCCCAGCTCCTCCCTGCCCCCTGCCTGAAAGAGACAGCTGCTTCATCCCACTTCCCTTTGACCAAAGACAAGGCTCTCAATACCCAAGAAGCCAGAGGACAATGTACAGTGGACAGGCCACATGGACTCACAGAGCCTTGTGCTTCTCCATCCCACCTATGATGGGGTTGGGTTGCAAATTACGTGTCGACCTTCTGTCGCTCTCATTGATGAGCCCTTATCAGCAAGCATCCTATTTAATTAATAAGAGATTATGGGAAATGAATTGATCAGGATTCTTCAGTATACATAGGAGATAAACCCAACCCACTTTGAGCTTACAGTGTTTCTCAAACACCTGTGAGTACACATTGTGTGGTTTAGAAGATCTACCTGGAGTCTTTTAAGACCTCCTAGGAAAGGTTATGGGTGATGGTGGGCAGACCACACCCTGGATGCTCCCGAACCTCAGTCTCTCTGTTAGCATCATCAGATAGGCCCTGGCAAGACCATAATGGTGTCATCCCTCCAAGGAAGAGTGAGACCCTCACTGCCAATCACTCCGCAAGCCCCTTGGGGAAGCTCTGGTTTCGAAGCATTGGTCTAGAGAGATGGTACTGTAGTTAAGAAGTTAATTCTGTTCATTCAGAGGTCCTGAGTTCAGTTCCTAGCTCTAACTGCTTGTAACTCCAGTTCGGGGGATCTGATGCCCTCTTCTGTACTCTGAAGGCACTGCACTTACACATGCACATATATACACACACACAGACACACATATATACACACTTTAAAAAATAAAGAAGAATAAATCTTTAGAAGCATTGGCCTGGCTTGGCCATGTGCTCTCCTTCAGCCATTCATCAAAGACAAAGTGTATGCTACACTCTGCTTGCCAGGCCTAAAGTTGTGTCACCCAGAGCGGGTATGCAGTCAGACTCAGAATAGGTAGGCATGATGCATCATGGGAAAATCTGGCTCTCACTGTAAGGTGGGAGACAGACACTAGCCAGACACAACAGACATCATCCCACATGTTGTCTGCCACATTTGTTACCTTGCGAAGGTAGAAAGTGATTGCTCATGACTTTATTTTTTGGATGCTGTGGACTGAATCCAGGCTGTGTACACAGTTGACAAGCACTTGATCTCTGAGCCACAAAAGTCTCATTAGGGAGGTCAGCTGACTTTGAACTCGTTGTATAACCCAGACTCACTTTAAAGTCTCAATCCCCCTGCCCCAGCCTTCGTGGTGCTGAAATTATGGATGTGCACCACCACACCTGGCTCATTCTTGGCTCTGAATGTGTACCGTAACCCCAGATAACCCTCCACCTTATGCCTGACCTTGATTCCATTTTCAAGTCTACATTTTAGACAGTTTTGCTTGTGTGCTCAAAAACTCTTAAATATTTACTGTGTGGCCCTTTGAGGGCGGGAGGATTGCAGATCTGCATCCTAGACTTTGTGCCAACATCTATTACAGAACGTAAGTGCCCAATTCCTACCCTGCCTATTTCAGGAAGATAAGACATTCAAAGACTTTGAAAAGCAAAACCATTATAAGGATATAAGATATCATTACAGCCCATTGTCAACAACACGTGAGTCCTCCATGAAATGAGATGTCATTATTGTGGTTATTGTGTTTTCCCAGTGCTTTTAAGACAAGAAGAAATCACTCCTCATGTCATACTCCAAATACTTTTGTCTACAAGTTAGCCCAAGAGAATTCAGACTGGCTTCATGCCCCAGTCACTGCCAGTGGCATCTCTACAGGACCAGCGTGCCTGCAGCTTGCATCCAACCTCTAGGCTCGGTGTTCATCAGTGTCGTGCTTACCTGAAATACAGGACTTGACTTTGACTGTGCAACACAGCACAGAGAATTAGGACCAGGTGTCAGTGGGGTGCGGATGTGCACACCTAGGATCCCAGTACTCAGGCTGAGGCAGGAGGATTCTGCCTCAAGAACATTCTGTTCAAGACCAGCCTGAGCTACATAGTAGGACCTTACCTCCAAAGTTAAATGAGAAGATGTGTTAATGAAAGGGCTACACAGGAAACAGCCCAGAGGCACTTAAAAACTATGTTTGGGCATGAACATTTTTAAGTACCAAAATGTTTTGGGTGATTCAGTATTTATCAAGAGAAGGGATAACTATACCAGAAAGTGGGTTTTGTTTTTAAACTAAAATAAGATTAAGTACATTTATAACTAGCCCCCCACAAAAAATACTTACTGATAGTAAGTAGGAACAGAACTACAGAACTACACTCAAAGATGAGAATTTTTGTTTCATTTTTTTAGTATGGGGATTGAACCTATGACCTTATGTATACTTGGCACACACACACACACACACACACACACACACACACACACACACACATACACACACACCCCACCACTGAGCTACAACTCTATCATTTTTATTTTGAGACAGAGTCTTACTGTGTTGCCCAGGTTAGCCTTGAACCCATTCTGTAGTCAAGGCTAGCCTTCAGTGGGCAATCCTCCTTCCTCAGAATCCCAAGTAGCTGGTAATAACAGACCTAGCTAAAGATTTTTAAAAAGGAAAGGGAGAAAAAACCAACAGGGCGAAGCGAGCCCCCTGCTGCCTATTGGGAGCTGGGTCGGCCTTTGAAAACATTGAGTAGGGGCTGGAGAGATGGCTCAGAGGTTAAAAGCCCTCGCTGCTCTTGCAGAGGACCCAGTTCAGTGCAGCCCCCACCATGAGTGGCTCACCACTGCTTTTAACTCCAACCCCAGAGAATCCAACACCCTCTCCTGACCTCAAGGGACACCCACACACATGTGACTACGCATACATATATAAAAATAAAATAAATATTCACAAAAGGAAAAGAGAACAAGTGTATTTCCCAGGATGCTGTTCATCTTAAAGAAAACAGCCTTCAGAAAGGTCCGACGGGGGGTCATTAAAGAGGAATTTGCTTTTCTTGGAAGTTCTTGCCTCAACATCACATCTTCCCAAACCATTCTTCAGTGCAGGGAGGAAGCTGGGGACAGGAAGAGCCACCGGCAGACTGTACCATCAGGCCTCCGTGTCTAGGTCCCCCCAGCAGGCTGCAGGCATGAGTCTGTAAGAGCCCAGTCAAGGCAGAAGCCTGTCCGTCCCATGCAGTGCTGTTTGCTCTAAGGAACTGTGACTATTAAACTATAGTAGCTGGTCCCAACGCAGCTTGCTCAGCTCCATCTCCAGACAGTTATACGCTGCTCTTCTCATCAGCATCCTTTCCCGGAAGGAACCTCTCCCTACCTGGAACCCTCCTCATACCCACGTCAGGCTTGGGATAGAGGTATGAGTTTAGTAAAGACTAGGAACATGCCAAGTCTGTGTGGGGGTAGCATGAAGCTGGAGAAGCACTCGAACTGTCAAATATATTTTGGGGTAATCATTTCTTCTATGTAAAAAACAGGTATTCCTCTGAGCTGCTTGGACAGGAACAGAGGTCAGGTGTGGGCTCAGTGGGACTCATTTCCTTGTGACGGGGGAGGGCGGCCAGTAAGGGGCCATAGTCTCTCAATAGAATCCATTGAGCCTCATAGAGCTCCCACACCATACCCAACTCTGCGATCATCCATCCTGGGGTGGACAGGAAACAGGTACTCCTTCCTTTATATAACCGGGCATGCTGGTGGGGCTGCCCACATGGATAGGTCTTTCATAAGAGAGATGGGACTTACCAGTGGCTGGATGAGTGTAAAGGGATCTGTTGTCCCAAAGTGTCCCCCTACCTACAATTTTTTTTTTCAAACGGGAGAAAAATATCCCTACTTTGGGCCAGGCATGATGGCATATGCCCTTAATCCCAGCACTCAGAGTTCAAGGCCAGCCTGATCTAAAAAGCAAGTTTTAGGCCACTCAGAGCTACATAATAGGATCTTTTCTCCGGGAAAAAAAAATTATTAGAACCCCTAACTTTTTGGCCCATTCAAGACAAAAACAGCTCTCATTTGACAGATGCAAGAAATTATCTTTCCCATGACTGAGGTATTTTGATTGTATTTTCTCATGTTGGCCAGGTTACTCGGAGTTTTTGATGAATTTCAAACCATCATCCTTTACGGATACAGACTTAAGACAAAGTCATTTTCCTTGATCTGAACTTGGGTTATGTTCGTGGACTTTCTGTGACACACTATA